ATCCGTGCCCCAGTCACTGGGAAAGGAGAAAGGGAAGTGGAGGATACGTCCTTTCCTTTTCAAGGATCACTTGGAAATTACCCCCATCACCCCCACTACTACTGGCTAGAATTTCATCACATGGCCTTGCTAGCTGCAAGGGAGTCTGGGAAATACAGCTCTTATTCTCAGAGGCCATGATCTCAGGGCTTCTGCTAAAATTAACAAGGCAGGGACAGGTGCTGGTGAACAGCTGACAGTCTTGTTATAGAAGGAGTGCAATTTTAGAGAAATTATGTTATTAATCCACCGCTCACTTCTTACAGTAGCAAAAACCCTCAATTGTATCCATGGAATAAAGAATATAAGAGGCAAAGGATTAGAAAAATCAGATTGTCAAGTAGGCTTTGTCCAGTTCTAACCAGTTGTGGGGTCATGACGAAGTCTTCATCTCGGGAAGGTGCGTGTTGGGCTGTTCCACAGCCAGCTGGTTTTCAATGACATAACATGCCTTGTAGTTCTCCAGAACCCGGGCCTGGAAGTACGCTTTGTCCTTCTCCTGCCAGGAGTCGGACTCTATGTACACGTTGAAGGGGTCATGGGAGTGCTCCAGCTTCTTGGAGCGGATGTAGCTCAGCATGATGCCCAGGGTGAAGAAACCGAAGAAGCCGAGCACCATGAGAATGTAGAGAGCCTCCATCTCACCGTCGGTGTAACCGGGGGACCTGCGGGCCAGGCCAGACGTGTTGCTGCCCTGTTGAGCTGTCCCCTGCCACAGCTCCGTCAGAAAGGGTGTCACAGCCGTGGTGTTAGACAGGATCATACTAGACTTCGAGGTTTCGCTGCCGGAGAGTAAACTTCCCGGGCAAACGTTCTAAAAGAAAAGTGCAACCCGCAATCAAAAAGTATGTCAAAACCCACATATATGCACACACGCATGCACACAATTTTTAAAAATCTCAGTCCGTGGTATGTGCCACCGTAGGTGTGCACAACACCCTCTCTTGATTGATCAATTGATAAATTGATCCCTTTTCTTTCCATTCACCACTCCCACCACTTACCTCCTTAAATGACCCCCCAGAAGGAGTTCCTTGCATATACACATTGTGCTGTATGTGTGCATTTTCGTTTATGTGCTAAGGACCAAGTTGTTGAAGCCCTTACCCCCCAAAGTGACTATACCTGGAGACAGGGTCCTCAGGAGGCAATTAAGGTTAAGTGAGATCATAAAGGTGGGACCCTAATCTGATAGGACTATGGCCTTATAGAGGAGAAAGGGAGATCTATCTCTTTGCCCTGTGAGGACACCTTAAGAAGGTGGCTGTCTGCAAGCCAGGAAGAGAGCTCTCACCAGAAATCAAACCCTGCTGGAGCCTTCTTCTTGGACTTTCCAGCCTCTGAAACTTGGAGAAAATATATTTCTGTTGTGTAAGCCCCCAGCCTATGGTATTTTGTTATGGCAGACTAACACATTATGTAAATAGTATCGGGTTATGTACCTCCCTCTGTCGTTCATTTTCTCCTCGACACTGTGACTTAATGGCCCACTCGCATGGCTGTGTGTACCTGCATTCCTTTAATCCCACTGTTGCATGGTGCCCATGGGATGCACCCACTTCTTCTCTCTACCCATCCCCCAGATCTGGACAGCGATGTGCCACTAACTCCATAAACAATGGGGCAACAAAGAGCCTCATTGTCCTCCAGTGCACCTAGGAAAACCACCCATTTCATACAGCAAGTGCCTGGTGGTTTCTACTACTAGTCAGGCTGAGGTGCTGCCAGGCATCTTAGGAGGTAACGTGCAATGGGTGGTCTGCTCCACCAGGGAACGTTGTTTGGATGGAAAGCTCACCCTATCACATGGCAGCCTTTGGGATGATTCTGTGAGATTTCACGTCAAGCTCGCCGCTAAGGGGCCAGTGTTCCAGCTAATGCTGTGTTTGCCTCCTCTCTGCCCCCTGCCTCCACCTGAACAGTTCTCATGGGCCATGGAGAAGGTGACAGTTTCCCCATCACTTAAATCTGGATGTCACTGTCCCTGAATACCCATGTAACAGGCCTGGGGATTGTCAAAGTTAGCTCTGGCATTCTGTCAGCGGGTTCGTGTGCTCTGAAACCCCCACCTAGGTGGCCTCGCGATCACTGATAAGCTAAAACAGGTTTTATTCATTTTTTTTTGTTTTGTTTTATTTGAGAACATGCTGGCCTCTACCCACAGGACCTGCTGGGAAACAAAATCTCCAGGACCGAGTGATGAGGCCACACTCCAAACTCAACCCAGAAGGGGCTCCCACGAGCTGATCAGGCTCGTTTCTCAGGACCTTCAAAGCAGTTGAGTACAGCACCTTCGGGGTGGCTGTTGGGACTAAGGGTGAAAAGTGTGTTTGGGAGCATAGTTTGTGGCACAAATGCTGTGGAAAGAGAAATTCCAATATGCATCGCTGGGGGTCAGTGTTCAGGCCTCCCCAGCTAGGATGGGGACTGTGACTTCACACACTGTCTGGCCTAGGACCAATGTCAGCCTCAGAAACCTCTAGATGAGACCTAGAGCTATTTCTTTGTAGAAGTGGCTTAATTTTCCAACATGCACTGAAGCCAGTGCTAGGTGAAGACGCCCGGTGCCTCCCCTGCGCACCCCTCCTCCATCCATCTCTGAGCTGCTGCTGCTCCAGAATTCTACTGTCGGCCCTCCTCGCCTCCATCCACTCTTGCTCTGGTCACTGCACCTGCTCGGTCAGGTTCACGTGCATGGTCATGACCCCAGGCCCCCTCTGAGCACCAGAACAGTGTGCTCAGTGACCTGCCAAGGATTCAGTGACCTGCGGCCATCCCCAGGCTCCTCAAACCCATCACCTGACGCTCCTAGAAGGGCCTGCCCCACTGGGTGGCCGTGTTACCCACCCCCAACCCAAGTCACCCTCACTGCAAATCCTGTCATGTCAGTGCCCAGCTCAAAGGCTTTCCTTGGCTCCTCCCCACCTTTAGGGTGAAGCACCCCATGTTCTGCATGCATTTCAGCCCTAAGTGGGAGGGTCCCTGCCTCCCTCTCCTGGTCCAGGTGCCACTTTACCCAGACCCCTCCTGGCCACGTGAGGGACCATATACATCCTCTCGTCTTTGCCCGCCTCCAGCACAGGCTGCTCCTCCTTTCTTGGCCCACGAAACTCCTAAATGGTGCCTAGTCATGCTTTAAAATTCAGCCCAACTCTCACCTCCTCCCTGGAGCCTTCTCTGATGCCTGGGGCTGGGTTAGCACCACACACACCACAGCCGTGAGGTCGCTATGCTCCCCGTCAACTCCAGCATGGTCATCATCTCTGTCCTCTTACCCTGTCCCCCACAGCCTCCCTAGGGGTGGCGCCTGGCACATAGCAACACAGGGGCCGTCCTTGAACTTCTTAATACCTCTTGATGGGCGGGGCCTGATTCTTCATGGCCCACTTATCTAATCAACAGATGTCATGAGCTGCCTACACAGCTGTAGCTAAGTCCCTTTGGAGGAGGGACAACTGTCTCCCTCCCAGACCACAGCCTGGGATCCCATGAGGAGTGGAGCAGAGAGCGCCCAAGATGTTAGAATTACACCTCTTGCTGGGTTTGGATTCTAACCCTGCAGCGGCCACATGGCCACATGAACCTGGTCAGGTTCCTCAGGCCAGCACAGTCCCGACTTTTTCCCTGNATAGTAATCTGTGTCAGGGCTCTGCCCCAGAGCTGTCCCAAGCAAGAGTCCCTGCTTCCAAGCACACCCAGAGGATCGCTGTCTATTACATGAATCAAGGACTAGAGTCGGGCTGGGCCTGGTTTGCCCATCTGAGGATGGCCAACATGCTATGTGTCGCTTTTAATTTATATTGTGTGCAGGGTTTGAACAAACTATGTTTTATTCAAATATTCCACCCTCTTTAGGACTGCCCACGCGGGCGAGCGTTCAGGATGTTGTAGAGGGCGAGTGCTGCCCATGATAGCTGGAGAAGGCTGAAACCTCAGGGCGCACGTGCTCTGTGACACTCTCAGGTCAGGTCACGCTAACGAGGCTTTCTTCTACTGCCGTGAGCAACTCCTCCTGGTACCATCGTCCTCCACCCCCAACCCTTCCCCCTCTCTCATCTGTGAGGGAATCTTGTCTTGTGAGGAGGAGGAGGAGGGCTGAGAGGAAAGCCGCTGTTGCTGGGGTGGGGTGAGAACTGTATGAGTTTCCTGTGGCTGCCGTAACAAAGCATCCCAAACTATTGGGTTGTCAGGAAAGTCATGACGTATTTTTTTCTATGTTTTTTGTTGCAAAAAATGTGTCATGACTTTTCCGACAACCCAATAGGTGGCCTGAAACCACAGAAACTCATCATCTTTCGGTTCTGGAGGCCAGAAGCCTGAAGCTGAAAGGTCACAGGGCCATGCTTCCTCAGAAACCTGGAGGGGACAGCCCTTCTTGCCTCTTCCAGCTTCCGGTGGCGGCCAGCAATCCTTGGGGTTCCGTGGCTTGTGGCTATGTCACTCCAGTCTCTGCCTCTGTCATCACATGGGGTTTTCCGCACATGTCTGTGTCCAAATCGCCCTCTTCTTCTAAGGACATCAGTCATATTGGATTAGGACCCACCCGAACGGCCTCATCTTAGCTTGATGACATCTGCAAAGATCCTATCTCCAAATTAGGTCACATTCATAGGTACCAGGAGTCAGGACTTCAACGAATCTTTTTTTGGGGGGGTGGGGGACACACAATTCAATCACAATAGACTGATTATCTCAAAAGGCTCTGCCACCTCAGTGCCACGTGTTTCCACTTGCCTACACCTACTCCTTCCCCTGGGCTCTTGGGATGATGGGTGTGCCCTTCCCTCCTGCCATGATAACTGAGCACCTTCCGTTCTGAAATGGGTTTTTGTTTTTTTTTTTCTCCTGCATCTCAGCTCTGTAGGAAGTGAGTTCCTTTGAGACTGGGATATATGAGTTGGAAGTATGCATGCGCGTGTGTGTGTGTGTCTGTGTCTGTGTGTACATGTGGGTGTGAGTGTGTGTGTGTGTGTCTGTGTGTGCGTGTGTGTGTCTGTGTACATGTGTGTGTCTGTGTGTACATGTGTGTGTGTCTGTGTGTACATGTGGGTGTGTGTCTGTGTGTGTGTCTGTGTGTACATGTGGGTGTGAGTGTGTGTGTCTGTGTCTGTCTGTGTGTACATGTGTGTGTGTGTCTGTGTGTGTGTGTGTACGTGTGTGTGTCTGTGTGTGTGTACGTGTGTGTGTGTCTGTGTGTGTGTGTGTACGTGTGTGTGTGTCTCTGTGTGTGTGTGTGTACATGTGGGTGTGAGTGTGTGTCTGTGTGTACGTGTGTGTGTGTGTGTGTACATGTGGGTGTGAGTGTGTGTCTGTGTGTGTGTCTGCGTGTGTGTCTGTATATGCGTTCGGCAGTGAGGATTCATGAAAGGTGGG